ATGTCATTGGTGTAGGTGGAATAACACCCTTTAAATCATTGGTGTCAGCGGAAAAATGGGCCACAGGAGAGAATATCCCCTCATATCATTGCTGTAAGTGAAATATTCAGACTCTTGAAGAATAGCCCTTTAAATTATTGCTGTCAATAGAATAGTAGGCCCCAGGGGAGAATAGCCCTCCAAAATATCGAGACAGTGGTTAAAGTGGGCCCAGAAGGAGAATACAGGTGAAATCAATGCTGCCAGTGGAAAGGTGGCCCCCAGGGGAGATGCCCCCCATCCCCAAATGTCAGTTGAAGCAGGAGGTGTTCCCCCCCCCAAAATGATTGCTGTTGTTGGATAGTGGCCCAAATCATTGGTGTCAGTGGAAGAAGTGGGCCCCAGGGTAGAAAAAAAACAAATCATTGGTGTCAATGGAAGTGTGGACCCCAGAGTAGAAAAAAACCCCCAAATTACTGATGTCATTAGAAGAGTGGGCCCCATGGTAGAATAACCTCCAAATCAGTGTTGATGGAATAGTGGGTCCCAGGTGAGAATGTTACTGCAAATCATTGGTGTCAGTGGTGGTCCTTACCTTAGGACAGGAACCAACACCTTAGACCTAGCAGTATAGCCAGCTTGGCAGTCTGAGACAATTCCCAAATCCCCTGATGTACAGTAGACTACATGTAATCACTACATATTTCTTAGCACAGGAATGTGTGGCAGTTGAGTTACTGCCATTCCCCATCCTCAGAAGGTCCAGCACTGAGCCACCAGACGACAGCAGCTGATGGCCTCTCTCCCACATACCAGTGTGTCTAGGTGGAAGCACAGTCCACTTAACATGATCGCATAAGACACCCTGGCAGAGTTCAAACTGCGCATGAGGGACAAGAGGCCCTGTGCCTCACTTGGAGGCGGAGGATTAGGATTAAGTAGAGCTGCCAGGCCTTGTTCTCCTATCAATAGTTGCTGTAGCAGTGATGTGTCATTTGGAATGTAAGGTTTTCCTTTTCTTTTACTTCAGCACTCACCTTTGTTACTGCCAGTGAGCAGCATGTGATTGATGGAGGGAGGGGATTATTTAGGGGAATCCCACAAACACCCTCCCCTACTCTGCTACAGTGGTATCAAAACACTCTGCAAGGGATCAGAGTGGTATTTCAGGATCCTGACTGACAACCATTCCAACATAGAAATTTGGGAGTTCTCTCCATTCATGGAGGACTGCCGCATCCCAGTGGGGAGAGGTCTTGGTCCAGAATTATTCATTCCAGTGTGCAAAGCGATATGTAACATGTGTAGCGTAAACGTGCTGGCAGGGCGAGGCTCAAAATTTTTTTATTACGGGGGGGGGGGGGGGGGGATTTTAAAGTGCTCGAATGTTACTTTATTTTTCAAAATTTTTTTTTCATCACATAGGGGGCAAAAAGTCCTCGATGTGATGATTTTTTGCTGACAGGTTCTCTTTAATGAGACATCAGAGGTCTAAAAGACCCCCAATGTCTCACCTGCCCTCTAATGAAGCTGAGGGATGCAGATTGTGTTCCATCAGCTTTTTCCCCAGCCAGTGATACCAGGACGTTTTATATGTCGCTTCTGAGTCAGTAGCAGTAAGGGGAAGGCAGTGAACAGACTTCCCTACCCTGTAGCTGGCGGCACCTGCCATACTCGTCCCACGCTCACTGATAAGCAGTGGCAGCATGCTGTGGCGGTGGTGGAAGTGATCAGACAGCTTCTTAGCAGCCATTATCAATTCCACGTGAAAGCTGACAGCCGGCTTAACCTAAAGCTGCTGGGAGTGTGCTTATAAAATCCCTGATCCCAGCATCATTTCAAAACTGTAAAGGGTCTCAAGTGGCTGAAGTAGGAGTGGCAAAGCTGGGCCAGCACAGAGATAAAAAAAAATTAGACCCCCAGAAGAGGAGAAGGCTTTGTATGTAAAGGTGGAGGAGTTGTACTAGGGAGCTGATTCTTCCTGGATTATTATAGGCAGCACAGTGGATCACACTGGGATCCATGGTTTACATCCCAGTCCCCCCCCAAACACTCCACAGACATGCCGGGAGGTTGTCTCCAGTCTAAATTGTCTCCAGCATGATATTCTATGGTTCATGTCCCCCAATGAGTCCCCCCGGAGAGAAGATATATAGAAAGATCTATTCACAACAAGAAGGGAGGGGGTATGCTGTTTGGGGCCCTATTGGGGAGAATTCCCCTCACTTCTGTCCCTGGAAGATCCGCAGGTGTCACCAGCACAGAAATCCCCCCCCCCCCCCCCCAGTGACAAAGGATCTGACTCTCCCACACCGCATATATTACAATAAAGAGAGGTTGGGGTCAGAATACAATGGGAGCTCTGTTCTTCCTATTAGTCTGTAGCATTCTTCCTCTTGTATCTAGATGAAGCCGATATGAGCCCTGAACCTGGGCAAGGACATGAGGACAACCTGTGCTTCATGGGGAACTAATAGTCCCCACCAGCCTTGCTGGTGCCCGTAGTCCCCCCAGCCTTGCTGGTGCCCAGCCTTACTGGTGCCCTAGTCCCCACCAGCCTTACTGGTGCCCGTAGTCCCCACCAGCCTTACTGGTGCCCGTAGTCCCCACCAGCCTTACTGGTGTCCGTAGTCCCCACCAGCCTTGCTGGTGCCCGTAGTCCCCACCAGCCTTACTGGTGCCTGTAGTCCTCCATGGCAAGGGGACTCCATTCCAATCCCGGAAACAGTGGAATATTACAACACACAAACTTCTGGTGAGCTCTGAAAACTCTTCCCCCACCCTTTGGTTGAAAGGCCCTAACTCTAAACCAGTGTTTTTCAAAATTTTTTTAGTCAAGGCACCCTTTAAAATTATGGACAGTCCCGATGCACCCTATTCTAAAATGTGAAAAACTATTCTAATAGTATTATATAACGAAGCAACATCCACACATGTAGGACACCCAACATTAGAGGGGATTTATTCTTCCAAAGCAAGCACACTTTTGCATACTAGTATTCCAGTGTTTCCCTTCTCTCTCAGTTTTTATCCATCACTGAGCTGATGTGACCCCAGCACTAATGGAGAGGGACAGGGGACGGTCAAACTAGGATGCTGTGTAGTAAACTGACATCTTCCTTATCAACTGATGTCGTCATTGGTTGTCAGGACACTGGAGGCTAGAAGGGCGTAATGGTGCATAATGAAAACCTGTGGCTTTGTGCAACTAAAAGGCAGGCTTGTATACAAGTTTTGGGCAATTTTTAGACATTTTGCCAAGGCACCCCTAAAGAAACCTCAAGGCACCCTGGTTGAGAAAGACTGCTCTAAACTATTGAAGTTTCCAGCTATAGGACAGAGAGAGAAACATCTCATCTCTGAGTGACATGCATATATCTAAAAGGATGGGCCATAGCACTGCTATTTACTAATCTAAATATGTTTATCTTCTCCTCTAAGCATCCTGTCAGAGACAGGCTTCTTGCTCTTACATGTTTCACCTTAATATAGGACTTAGTCATAAAGGCAGTGTAAGTACACAAAATTTGACCTGGTTATCAGTATTCGTACAGATCTCAGATTGGGGGAGCAAGAAACAGCACAAGGAGCAAGTCAACTGGGGTGTAGTGTTCATGTGCTAACAAGAGACATGCTAATGGGGGGAAATTTGACAAAGTGACAAGTTCATCAGTCTTGCTACCTCTCCTTTTACAGTCCAATCACAGAGTGCGGGGGAGAAAAAAAAAAACAACAATAAAAAAACCTATAAGTGTTACTTAACTACATCAGATAAAAATCAGGTCTTCTGCCCTGTTAGACAGAACTGGATCGAAAGAAATACAAATCATTTGGCAGGTAAAACAACTCCAATTTTATTATTTCATCTGTTTATTTAGTGATTTGCCTGAAAATGTTTTTCCTTGTAACCATGGCAATGTTGGTGGACGGGGCTTGCTGGAATTTTCAAGGCTCTAGTTTTCAGACTTGGGTAAGTGCTGAGGAACATGGTATTGTCATATGCTATAACCTCAGAGAGTTGGAAGCTACAGCAACCAATCACAAATTAGCTTTTGTTTTAAGTCCAACTCCAAAACCCCCCCAAAACAGTTTTTCAGTTTTGGAAGTGGGGAAATGTTAGACATTCTGTAAAGATTATATGGCTGCTACTGGGATTTCCCTCTTACTTTTCATTCTGGTAACAAGGATGTGATGGAAAATCTTCACGAGAGACAACAAAAATAATAATCATTAGCGAAGTGAAGGGTTAGCTTCACTGAGGACCCATTCGCATTTAAGCGCTGTGGCAACGCACATTAAATGTGTCGCAGCTAAATTTGTTTTTAAAATGATACTAATGCTAAAAATGTATTTTTTTTTACCTTAATGCATTCCTTGCATTAAAGCGGTAGTAAACGTAACTTAAAAAAGAAATCCCCTGCAAGGCAATGTCATAATGTGCTAGTATGCATCGCCAAAATTCAAACCATGTATGGGCAGGCTAAATGTACCCAAGTGGATCGATTGATACAACCAGCCTGCTGGATTTTACATGTGATTATCGCTAGCAGCTGTTATAGCCACTAGCAATAATCACTGTCAAATCCCCCCTGCCAGGAGAACACAATGGCTCAGTGGATTGGATTCCCTTGTCAACACTGTGTTGATAGGGAATCGAACAAATTTCTTTCCTGCAACCCGAGGTTTTAGGAAAGAAATTTGCACAGTCTATGGCTTGCCTAGGCAGCAGTGACTACCAATAGGTTCCATTCATGCTGTAAGTATGTAAACGCTAGCACAGATCTTATAGGTGTATAGAGTACAGACAATTTATTATGCAGGATTTAGCTGCGTATATAAATTTGCCCTTGTGAATGATGCCATGGAGGTTCCCTTTGTAGCCACCCTACCCAACATCTTTCTACTTTAGTACTTTGATGTCTTCACATGAACACAGAGACATTTTCTTGTACAAGAAACCATTAAAGTTTTATTTATGTACACGCACAGCACAATAGAATCTTCCACAGTGTCTATCACCCCTACTTTGTCTCTAACTTATCTCCTGCCTCCAGCTTTGGGCTTTCTGGTTCCTCCCGATGAGCTGGGAAGGCTTCCCAGGGGCTGCTGAGATCAAACTTCCGAAATTCCTGTGACAGCTGAACAGGCTCTGCTACCACGCGTTTCACCTCATCGTCGTAACGGACCTTGGAGAAGACAAAGGATAATGCATAACCGGTCTTCAAGATGCAAACATTAAAAATCTCTGCATATTTTGAAGCACGTTTGTCAAAAAGCCATGCAAGTTAAACATGGCGTAAGTTAAACAAAAAACAAAAAAAAAAACAATCTTCAGTAAAACCATCTGTATATACCTGTCCACAGAGTGTGTTATTTTTTTCAGTGATGTCTGTGTCTTCACTAGTGATAGCTCAAAAATAAACTGAACAAGCGATGTGGGTTATTCCAATAGCCACTTCTCTGTGCTTGTCTGGGATAATATGGTCTCTGTGTAGGTGCCAAATTCTGTTCTCTCTCCATGTATGGGCGGGGTTCTACATTACATTTATTGAAGCCATTTCGTGGTGTTCATGGAAAAATGGGTTGGTAATAATTGTTGTATTGGTTGTTACTCTTAGGTCTCCAGCCATTTTGTCTAGGAGTATGTTGTTGCTTATTCATATCAAGTCTACATTTTGGTAATTCTATTTTAACCAGTCTAATATCAACTAAGCCTTGCTCATTCACTTTACTCTGCCATTTAACCTGTTTATTTTTTAAAATCGGACACATCTCTTTAGTATTTCTTTTGTTTTTTTAAATTCTGTCCTCCCCATCTTTCTTATTTAAATACTTATTAAGTTCACTGGTAATAGTGTTATATTCCTGTGAACTTTCATATGGTTCCATTTTGGCTTTAAATTCTTTAATTGAGTCATCCAACAATCTAATTTTTCTTTCCGCTCTATTAAGAAGGAAATGCATGACTTCTAAGCCATTTTTTTTTAAATCAGCAGACTGATACTGGAGCATGTGCTATTTACAGCACCACCAAAGTGGAATTTTATATTGAAAACTTTAATACCAAAAGGTTTGAATGTCAAATTTGATGTTAACTGATTTATGGATTAAATGTTAATAACTGCAGCATTTGGTGAATATTTCGTTGAAGGGGTTGTTAGTTCTATATACTACTAGAAATTTGACCATTTGGGGTGTTTTATCCATCTATATTGGTCCATAAGCAGACTGATACCGGAACATGTGCTATTTGCGGCACCGCTAGTATACACAGGGGTTGCTATGCCAACTAATCATTCTTATCACTCTAAAGCCGTACCTTGTCAGTACTCCACGTACCCTCTGACGAAGCCATGTAGGCACGTAAGCCATGTAAAACGTAAGGGTGTGGAGAGTGACATCTCAAACCTAACGGAACACACGAGGGAGATCGCCAACAGGAGATAAGAACACGGGAGGGAGGACGCTGATCCCGTTCACAGAATCCCCACCAGGTGCCGCGGGTATATGAAATACCTGTTATGATCATTGCTGGTATCTGCAGTGCACCAGGATAGTTCACCCTATTTGTGAGTGTATTCACTTTTATAATTTTTTAATAAATTTTGTATACGGGTACACACTATGTCAGTGTTTTTTCCATACATATTCCCTGCACCGGAGGCTCTAAGTCCTATAAGACTAAGGATATCCCCTTAACCCAGGGACAATAGGGTTAAAGGCACTACTAGACCGAAATTAAGTAGGTCTTTCCATCAGGTGAGAGACAGATAGTGTTGGTACTTCACAAGTGGTGATTCTATTTATCATTATTTCATGCACTTGGATATGAGGGATCCTATCTGGATGGAATTTGATAAGGATGTGACTTTGATTTTTCTCTCTTTAGTTCTGATATGAGGACTTTATGTATGGCCATTTGATTCTAATAGGATTTCAGTCATACAAAGGGATATATTACCTCTCAGTGGTGTGAGGTCTTTGACAGGAATCTTTTTGTTTTGCAACATTGTAGCACTGTCCTGATAAGTATACTGTTTATTATATATGTGGTGTGGACATATGAGGACATAGCGGCAACACTTTTCAATTTTGTGTCCATTTCTGTGTGTCACTTATAGTGATTGCGCACAGGTTTTTTTAGTTTTTAGTTATGCACCTGTAGCTGTAAGAGAATGGAAAGCAGACGGATTTTCACTGTTCGCCACATTTTGCCTAGAGATGCACTCCGTTTCCTGAGTTTCTTGACTCATTGTGTATGATGAGAAGCCTCAGTTACCAACAGGGAAGACTCGAGGCAAGAGGATGTATGACCAGCTTGACTACAATCAAAATTATTTACATATTACTGCTTCCCATCACATAAAAAAATATAGGCATTTTAATACATAAAGTGTAAGTCAGCCATTGGTTTAACTGTATGAGTTGCAACACTTGTATTTAACAGGCACAGTTTATGATTTTTGGGTCCAGGATACAAAGGGGCCAGCAGGAAGGCATGACACAGCGTAATTATTTCACCATAATATTAATTTTTGATGTAATGTCTCTTGAAGGAAACCTACCTCCACATATCCAGAGAGAGGGAAATCTTTTCGGAAAGGATGACCTTCAAAGCCATAATCTGTGAGGATTCTTCTCAGTCTGGATGATTGGCAAAAAACACACCAAACATGTCCCAAACCTACAAGGGAAGAAAAGTCAAGGTAGCATTAGCTACCACAGGTTAAAAAAATAAATATAAAAAAAGAAGAACTACCTGTAGTGCAGTAATGGTTCAGAGATTCCACCCATGGTAAGGTGCAGCATTACTCCACTCCCATACATGGAGCGTCTACAAGCAGATTAGCCAGGCTGTTGTATTCTCTAGAAGTATCTTAAAGTGTGTATATTTTCAAGTGTCATTCAGGTCAAAGTGACATTGTCTGTGTAAAGGGGCCCTCTGACACACTGCCATCACTCCGCTACAGCTACCTTCTCAGTGTTGGATGCTAAAGAGGAGTGGTGATAGAACTCCTTTTGGCCGTGTTGACAGTGTTTTTGGCCTATTAATGCTAGGCAAGTGTACGGTTACATGGAAAAAGATCACATGTTCCCAAATACCGTAAGGTGGACTCCATAGCACTCAGTATACCAGGATTAGTTCCACCACTCTCTCAAGGGTATGCAAGTGCCCTGAAGTCATTGGTGCTGCCCTACCCGTTTCCTTGTGACTGGACTTTCATATCTGAACCGAAGGAAGTCCAATCATTACAAAACGATTAGGACAAGCAGGTGACATCAAAACGCACACTCTGCACAGAAAAAGAATGTGCCAAGAATGTGCTAGTATACAGAGTGCTATTGTATACAGAGTGCTATTGAGAACACCTTTCAACATGAGCATAATTGAACCCGCTTCGAAAAATTAAGGATTTTACATTATGGGATCTATTTATCTGATATAGCACTCTGATGGGGATAAACTGGGAAACAGAAGGAATAGCAGTTGGAATGACTAGAAAAAGGTAAGTCCTCGGAAAGCATGTTTTGAGCTCCCTATGTAATAAGAGGTCAAAAAAGTGTAGTAACAAGGGGCAATTACGTGCAGAGCACTGCAGATTTAAGTAGATTTAGTCACTTTTGATATGGTTAAGAAGACCAAATAACATACACAGCAAAGCCAGGGTCCACATTACAAATGTCAGACAGAGGCAATAAGGGAATTCTCACCTCTCTCTCATACCAGTTGGCTGCTTTATGTACAGACACAATGGACTCCAAGGGAGTAAGTTCATCTGTGTAAGTCTTGACACGGATTCTGGAGTTAAATTGCAAAGAAAGCAAGTTGTACACGATCTGAAAAAGAACAAATAAAGAATTAAATAAAGTAGCTAAGGGCGGACAAACCACCAGAGGAGAGAATTAAAAGGAGCACAAAAAGGCTCAATTAAAAACAACAATGCTTGTAATTGTTTTATTTAAAACAGAATTCCATTCTTTTTTTTGTCTTCCCTGGTTAGTCCTTTTTTAAGAAGTGCTAGAAATGTATTTATACTTCTCAAAGATCTGTTGACATCATGTTATTTAGGTTCTAATGTGAAGAAGGCATTTTCTAGCAGCTTAGAGTGGCATTCCAGTCAAACCCTAACTAAGCCTACATCTACTCCTACCCCCATTCTAAGACTATTCCATCTACCCTGTAAAAGAAAAGATATGCACACTTGCCTATTGTGAAGCCGCGCCCGGTCCAGTCACATGACTGGCTTCCAGCGTCAGTGTAGAGGAGGGACAGCCGACAACAGGTGCCCCATCCTAGCCTATGAGAGACATCATTGCCCAGGCTCTGCAGCCGTTGTTGTTGCCTCTCCTCTACATTGAAGTTAGCACTAGGACTCGATCATATAACCAGACCAGAGCAGCCTGCGACTGGGTAAGTATATAGATCTTTCCTTTTAGTGTTGATAGAATAGTTTTAGAATGGGGGTTGGAGCAGATTTAGACTTAGTTACGGTATGACTGGAATTCCATGTTAACCCTTTCTTAACTCTACATTGAATGTAGTAAAAAATGAAATCCTGGTTTTCAGGTCTCTTTTTATGAGTCAATCGATGTCCCAGTGGGCAGTAAAGAGCAAGTTATAAAAACAGTTGTGCATTTTTAGTTTGTTTTAGGGTGCATTTCTTTGCAGAAAAGGTAACCATTCACATCACATTTCAGTCCATTTAGTATTTAAAGGATAAGTTCACATTTCCACAAAAATAAATGTACATTTTCTTACGAGCAAAAAAAAAAAAATGCATGTATTATTTTTGTGTTAGAAGCCTCTAAAGCATTGCACCAGCAATCAGCCGATCGCTGATGCGGTGCAGGTGTCCTGCAGATCTGTCAGTATCCTGTACGAGCAAGCTGATAGTTCTGACAGGAAGAATTAATGAAATACCACAGTGCTCACAGCACCATGGTAGTTCATTGAGGACTACAAGCCGATAGCTGCTAAGGCTGTTGGGACCTGTATTCCATTCATTCACAGAGGACTGTGAATAAATGACGCAGGCATGTGGACAGAGCCCTGCACGGCCAAGTTGTTTTTGAAAAGTGACGAATGAAGTGAAAAATGTAGGGAACTTCTCCCCGTACTTCTGTCATAGGGAGAGGGGGGCAGCTGTCGGCGGCTGCAGGATCAAGAACATATTACATGTTCCACCCTAAAATATGTTCCCAAAGGTGAAGTTATCCTTTAATAGTCGGCTTGTTTTACAAAGCCTTGTCTATGGGTATGCTAGCCTGTTTTGAGCAAAAAATAGACTCAACCAGATTCAACAAAGGCAATTAGTATAGCAGATGAAAAATGGAGGTATAGGGGATTTAAAAACTACATGCTAAAGAAAAAAAAAAAAAGGAAGAGGGACCTCGGGCTCACAGTTAAAACAAGTAAATGCCTTATTGCCAGAACTCACCTCAAAGCGATTCTCTCTTGTTGGGATATCCACAGCAGTCAAATCAGCCATGTTTTTGAACTGAGCATTTGTGTGGTCACGAAGAAATGTTAAGACTGGTATAACCCCATCAGGATGGATCATTATTTCCAATTCTCCAAAGCAAGTCACCTAGGAAACAACACCACCGTATTTAACAAAATACAACACATATAATGTTGCAGTCAGTGGAAAGTGGACTGACTCTATAGCTAAACAATACACAATCTCAGAAAATGTCTATATGCATAAAGTATATATCCTGGTGTTGAAGTGGTTGCAAAGACAGGAGGTTTTTTTTACCTTAATGCAGAAAAAAAAAAAAAAAAACCCTCTCTTGTTCAGCTGCCCCCTAAATACTTACCTGAGCTTTATCCAGTGCTGTGAGCAATTGCGCTGCTCACTCTCCTCACAGACTCAGAGACAGCTACAGGAGACACTGGCTCCTGCTGCTGTCAATCAAATCCTGTGAGGAGGGAGTGGAGGGCAGGGATGAGCTGGGCTGCATGTATCAATGGAAACAAATAGCCCAGCTTGGCAGCAAGCACACGAGTGTCCCTATAGCAAGAGGAGGTTCGAGGCCATTGCACAGAGCAGGCAAATATGACATATTTATCATTTTACAAAAAAAAAAACAAAAAAAAAAAAAACAACTTTACAATCAATCACTTTAATTCCATATAGTGGTAAAATGTTGCCTTACAAAGTGTCAGTCCTTGCACCAGTGGAATTTACAGATGAATGTCCCTACCACCCAGTCTATGAGCCAGTGGGCATCAGCATACTATAAACCTTTCACTGCAACAATGGAAACATTAAAACAACTCTCACAACTCCCTCCCTCACCACATGGCAGAACTGCAATGGTCCAAATGTCAGCATGTTAGCAAAACCTGCAGGCTTCCTTGCAAGATGCTGATTGGAAACTTTTTGGCAGTATATGGTAACAATGTCACAGCAGGTCCATACCACTGACAAATCACCATCTAGGGAAATACTGTAGTCAATCAAGTAAGTTACAAAAATTGCCCAAGGAACTGGCTTGACTCCAATAGCTGGTGGCCCCATCAGCCACCCCCAGCCCAACGTCCAGCGAAGAAACTGGTGGAAAAATTGTTCGCTGAACATTAGCTGCATCTAATCATATACAGTCACTGTTCAGGTACAGCTGTCAGAATATAACAGCCATAGAAGGAGATTTCACTGCCCACATTTATATAGCATGTATGGGGAAATCTGCTAGATTTTTTTCTTTCGTCCCACAGACTAAAAGAAAATAGTCTATATGTATATAGCCAGCTCTCAAAACGCAAAAATGCACGTCACACCTACTAACCTGCACTTGTTGAACATACTTCGGCAGGATTTCAGCCACATATTCCCCAAACGCTGACAGCTGGTTCTGTAGCACTGTATTGCCAGGCCGAACCGTTGCTGAAAGAAGAAAGTACATCAATAAGACAATAAGGAAAGAACGACACACAAGTTGTATTTCAGCTTCAGATAGCAGAGGGATAGAACCATAGTCAAGTTTAAGGGGCCCTGTCGTGATTAATGTAAGTTGTCATCACTAAATGCTCCCTTGAGAATGCTAGTTACTTGGATGTCTTTCTGAAGATTTGACTTCAATGCTGCTCTAGTTGCTGACCTGGGACAGGCATAGAGATAAGTAGTTCTGACACTCATTTACTACATGCTTGGTCTGGACTGTGACTCAAACATCCTGAGGTTGGAGGCAGGCAGGCATCTGTCATTTTCAGATGTAATGGAAGCCCTATGTTTTTATAAGGTCTTTACAATGTCTGTATATCCACAGAGAGACACCTTCCCCAAACACCTAAAGTGAGCAGAAATCTCCCTTATGGGGCACAGGCTGCAATACAATTTGCTTGATTTCCGATACCTCTGGCTCCAATACCGTCCAAGCCACTGTTCCAGAACAAGTATGCAGCAACAAATATTAACAACCCCTGATCTGCATATTTGTTACCAGATCTGTAATCCTGTTAGACTACGTATTACATAGCCAGGCAAACTGAATTTTTATTAGTAAAAATCAAAAACAGCCTACATATTTCAAGTTTTCTTTAAAGCAGATCTAAACCCACTTACTAAAATCTCAGGAAAGCTTTAAAGTGACAATGTTACCTGTGCTTTCTGCCTGTGCTACACTCAGTTCCCAGTGTGGACCTCCTCACTATGTTATGAAGATGAGGGGGGCGTGTTCTGTAGTTCTAACACTTCCTGTCTTACGATGACTATGCTGCTCCTCTATAGATAAAACAGTGAACGGTCACCCTAGTAAAGGAAGTTTGTGATTTGCAGGATTACAAGGTGAACTTTAGAGACAAAACCCCCCCTGAAAAACTAAACTAATGCAACCACCTCATGTAGAAACTGGTAATCCATACCATATTACATTTGTTCTTAGGTTTGGATGCACTTTAAATATAAAGAGCGCAATCTAAGTGTGGATAGGCTAAAAATTGTTAAATTGCAAAATGAGATACAGTTAGGTCCATATATATCTGGACACAGGCACAATTTTAGTTTTTTCAGGTAGTTACCAAAACATATTCCAGCTATAGTTACATAATGGATATGGGCTGAAAGTGCACACACTCATGTTTAATTTGAGGGTATGTACATCCAAATTGGAGGAAGGGTTTAGGAATTACAGCTCTAAATAGTAGCCATCCCCTCTTTTTCAAGGGACTAAAATAATTGGACAAATGAATATAATCATAAATAAAATGTTCATTTGTAATATTTTGTTGAGAATCCTTTACTGGCAATGACTGCCTAAAGTCTGGAACCCATGGACATATAGTGTGTAAAAAGGCTGTTTGATCCTGCCTACTCTGCACCTCCTCTTGTTCAAATGTCCACGTCTTATCTCCTGATAAGACAGACTGAACCCGTAGCCATTCTGCACATGCTCAGTTTAGTGTGTATTACTAGAGAGGTTTTTTTTTTCTTGGGAGAGTGCATGTATTCAGCACTGTCCAGACAGAGGTAAGGGGTTTGCATCCTCCTAGAGCAGAAAGAAAACTCCTCCTACAAGGTTTAACTAGTGCTCTGCTGAACACTGATAGAAATCACAAGACTGCTCTAACGGCCGATGAGAAAAGGTATTTACCAGTTTATTTTTACTAAAATAATTGCATTTCTGTGTTCTGTGCACTGTGGGAGGACTTCTGGGTCCTGGGTTTAATAACACTTTAAAAGGGTTGTAAGTAAAGGTTACATTTTTTGTTTTACCTTAAAGCATTCTCTGCATCAAGAAAAAAAACCTTTTATGTGCAGCTCCCCCCATGCCCCCCCAATACTTACCGGAGACCAAGCTTGTTCCAGCACTGTGCCCGAGAGCAGCGACTCTGCTCTTCCTCTCTTCAGAAGCCATTGCCTCCTGCAGCTTTCAATTAAATCCAGTGAGGAGGGGCAAGAAGCACTGTTTGCGTCCATAGGCACACACAGTACAGCTCCGGATCAAGCCTGGGAGCACCAGGGGGGACCCAAGAAGAAGAGGTAAAGGGCTGTTCTTTGTGCAGTGGTTTTGCACAGAGGGTAAGTATAACATATTTGTTATTAAAAAAAAAAATTAAAAATAAATAAAAGAGAACCTTGTCAATAACATAAAAGCATAAAGCAAATTAGTAGCGTATTGCATTCTTTTTAAATGACATGTTAAAAGATTTGTAAACAAATGGCAACTTACGCTTTGTCTCTGAAGTTGTGGTTTCACTGCGTATTTGGGGCAGCACACGGAGAGCAGAAGCTGGAAATTAAAGACAGCCAGTTCAAACAACAAATAAAGGCATGTCAAGCTGATCAAACAGTCACGCAAGGCCAAAACATAACCAAAAGGAAAAAAAACAAACTTCCTACTTTCAGAAATAATTTAAGACTCATTGGGCTTACACAGACAGGCATGGTAAAAATTAGCAATGTTTCAGCAGTAGGAGTAAGACTCTAAAGGTGGGGAGAACCAAGTTTAGAATTCTTTATCCATCCCAGCAAAGCTGTTAATATACCTTTATGTTAATGTGGAATTCCAAAAACAAAAAAAAAATGTTTAAAGTTTTGGAAAGAATGTGAGAGGGATATATCCTCTGTCAAGTTTTTATTGCTATACTGGGCAAGACTAACCCTTACTTCCCCCCGTACAGGTAACAAGTAACATGGGGGCAGGAAGTGATGAAGGATCTAACAGAGATACAACACCAAATAAAAACAAGATGAGCAGGGAAAAGCCAGAACTCCAACCAGCTTATTACACTTGTATGTGTTCATGTTGGTGATTTTTTTCTCAATCATCACAGGACAGATTGTAAGAGGAACTCTCCCCATTGAGGCCACAGACTGCCAACAGTCTGTGATGGGTCTATGCTGCTGGGGATGATACTGCCATCTTGTGCATAATTAGTACATTACTGGATGTTCATCATAAAGGTTTTCAGGGATTATCTAAAGGTGGATAGAGTAGGAGACAGCCAGACAGATTAGGGTAGAGAGTTCCATAGGATGGGAGAAGCTCGGGAGAAGTCCTGTAGGCGAGCATGGGAGTGGGTGATATGGGAAGTAGAGAGCAGTCTTGGGAGGATCGAAGAGAGCGGTTTGGTTGATATATTGAGACCAGGCTGGTGATGTAGTTGGGGCAGAGTTGTGGATGGCTTTGTAAATTGTTAGTATTTTGAATTTTATTCGTTGAGCATGTGGAATCCATAACATTTCTTATGTTTATTGTGCAATAAAAGTTTTTAAAGGATAAAGCACTATGTTGAGCTTTTGTTTATGAGGAATACGGCTGACATTAAGGCGGTTATCTGGAGGGAGCACCCTGGGAGCCATCTTTCAGTAAGCTGATCTACAGAGTCCATATATTTGGGACCAAAAGTGCAGTTAGACCAAAACATTGTACAATGTGAGGTCACACTGCTGGGGGTGAGCAGATTTATGGTGGAGGATGTTTTGCACTGGAGTTTTGTGACAGTTATTATACAGTATTTATATAGCGCCAACAGTTCGCTCAGCACTGTACATTACAATGGGGGACAATACAATGGCTCGGCGGGAGGGATCCCCCTGTCAGCACTGTATGCGTTGATGGGGGAATCCATGTTCCAGGAAAGAAATTTGCTCCATCTATGGTCTGCTTTATATCAACTTCTGTCGAATAGACAAGCTGGAAAACCTCTGCCAATCAGCTGAAGATCATCCGTGTATTCTGACGGCACAGCCCCGTTGTTAGAATACAATGTCCTGGGGGATCTGCTTGTTCCCCCCCCCAATGAAGCCCACTGGCAAAACAAAAGAAAAGGATCATCTATGGCCAGCTTAAAGGATAAGCTCACCTATTGAGAAAAATAAGTGTATTTATTAATTTTTTCCCCAAGGAGCTTGGAAAGAGGAGCCACCTGGCTGGTGGACTCCAAGCACGGTTGTTATGGGTTACAGCAGAGGCCCTTCTGCCACGCAAAGGTTGCTATGGGTTGCAGCAGAGGCCCTTCTGCCACGCAAAGGTTGCTATGGGTTGCAGCAGAGGCCCTCCTGCCGAGCAAAGGTTGCTATGGGCTACCCCAGAGGCCCTCCTGCCGAGCAAAGGTTGCTATGGGCTACCGCAGAGGCCCTCCTGCCGAGCAAAGGTTGCTATGGGCTACCGCAGAGGCCCTCCTGCCGAGCAAAGGTTGCTATGGGCTACCGCAGAGGCCCTCCTGCCGAGCAAAGGTTGCTATGGGCTACCGCAGAGGCCCTCCTGCCGAGCAAAGGTTGCTATGGGCTACCGCAGAGGCCCTTCTGCCGAGCAAAGGTTGCTATAGGCTACCGCAGAGGCTCTTCTGCCGAGCAAAGGTTGCTATGGGTTACAGCAGAGGTCCTTATTCAAAGCAAGATTACCATCACAGTAGAAGTCTATGTCAAGCAAGACTTGTGGGTTACAGCTGAGGTTCTTTTGCCAGGCAAGGTTGCTATGGGTTACAGTAAAGGTTCTCATGCTGAGCAAGGTTGCCATGGGTTACAGAACAGTTCCTTCTTCTAATTATGGCTGCTACGGGTTACAGCAGAGGTTCTCATACCAAGGAAAGGTTGCTACGGGTTACAGCCAAGAGTCTTACGCAATGCAAGGTTGCTATGGGTTACAGCCAAGAGTATTACGTAATGCAAGGTTGCTATGGGTTACATCCGAGTCTTACACAATGCAAGGTTGCTATGGGTTACATCCGAGTCTTACACAATGCAAGGTTGCTATGGGTTAAAGCCGAGAGTATTAGGTAATGCAAGGTTGCTATGGGTTACAGCCGAATATTACGCAAGGTTGCTATGGGTTACAGCAGAGGTTCCCATGCTCAGGAACGGTTGCTATGGGTTACAGCCAAGAGTCTTACACAAGGTTGCTATGGGTTACAGCCGAGAGTCTTCCGCAACGTTGCTATGGGTTACAGCCGACTCATACAGAAGGTTGCTATGGGTTACAGCCGAGAGTCTTACACAAGGTTGCTATGGGTTACAGCCGACTCATACACAAGGTTGCTATGGGTTACAGCAGAGGCCCTTATGCCGAGCAAGGTTGGTCTGGGATAAGGAAGAGCTCCTCATGGGGTGCGGGGTCTATCGGTTACAGTAGAGGCCCTCCTGTCTCCTCTCAGTGGGGGGTCCTCATGTCTCACCTCCCCGGAGCAGGCCCCGTACCGCCCGCACTCCAGCCAGCATTCTTCGCGACCACTGACAGACAAGGACACACAGAGAGCCCGGAAACCCCTCCCGCCTGGGTCCGGTCCTCCAAGGAAATTCCTCCGGGCGACTTCCGGCGTGTGAAAGCAGGGCAAGGAGAGTTCCGGGTGTAGAGGGCGAGAGGAGGAGCGGACAGAAGCGGGGACGGTAAATCCGGGGTGGGAGGGTGACGCTGAGTCCAGGAGCCAGGGGGGTGCGGGGAAGGGGTCACGTGGGTACAGTACCGGCTGGCCATGGCAGCCTGCGTGTTGTAGAATATCCCCGGACACGGCTCGTAGCCATCACTCCCCTCCCTCCATAAGATTCGATACACTTTTTCCTCTAGACCTCAAGGAAGCCGGTTGCCAAGGGCAACTACACTTCCTCTGCCTAGGGTGGTACAGATTAGTCTGCTGGAACCTGATTGGTTGCTGTGGGCACCTGCAGATTTTATGAATCCGCCCCTCCAGTGATCTGATTGGTTGCTGTTGGCAGCTGAAATATTTTTTTCCTGTAGTAGATATAGTTTCAGTAATTAAGTGTGGTTGCTATGGGCAACAGGTCCACGTATGGTCAAGTTGCAGTGAGTTGGCCCAGAGGACTCGGGATGGTGGCGGTGACAGTTCTACCTCTGCTCCGCATTATATAAAGTGTTTCTAAAGCCACAACTATCATTTTATTTGGAGAGAGTGCTGTGGGGTTAGAGCGCCTGGCAGGTGTTTATTGTCATGCTCAGGGTGTGAGGCTCTGTTCACTTTGAATACTGACAGCCAATCATAAGCATACTGTGGGGCAGGGTGGGGAATGTCTTCGCCATTTATGATTGGCTCGCTGTAGTGATAGCTTCCTGGTGGGTCCGGACTGGGATCCAATCACTACCGAGCTCAGCACCACTAATCACTGTTGTCACTGGGACCAAAAGTGAGGGAACATTCAACATTTTACCTGATGTGGTCACTCTATTCCAAATGAAGGGGAAAAAAAAACATGTTTTAGATATGCCTAAAAGTGTATCTATAGTCTGAACTTTTTAAAAAGGTATTTAAAAAAAAAAAAAAAAAAAAAAAAAAAAATATATATATATATATATATTTTTTTTTTTTAATATATACTAGGCAATATTTAAAATCCCTGTCTGTTTGTTATTTTTTCTGTTTGTGTACCATTGGAGAAACTTCACTTCATGTCCCCTAAGATGCAAGAGGTCAGAGGAAATCCCCCAAAGTGAAATGAATTCCACTTTTAGACAGTTGTCACTAATGGAAAATCTCCCCTCACCTCTTGTTCTGGGGGCAACTCTAAAACTTTGGATTCCCCTCATTTTCTGTTTTAGTGACAATGGTCACCGTAAAAAATAGAGGGGGTGAGTCCCACCAATGACTTGATAGGGGGTCTAACCCTTCCTCACTCTATCACAAAACTTGGGGAAAAAAAAGGTTTGGTATACCTATAATTCAAATAAAGATAGATGTAGTATGGACAATTTAAAATACCTGCCTGTTTTTCTTTTCTTTTTTTTTTTTTGCTGTTGATGTAAGTGCCATTGGAGAAGTTTCTCTTCACTTCCTGTCCCCTAAAATGCAACAGGAAGTCAGAGGAAATCCCCAAATGTGAGAGGAATTCCACTTTTAGACAGTTGTCTCCATTGGAAGATCTCTCCTCGCCTCTTGTTCTGGGGGCAACTCTAAAACTTTGGATTCCACTCATTTTTGTCGTAGTGACAGTGGTCACCAAGACAAGAAGAGGGGGTGAATCCCCCCAATGACTTGACAGGGGGTCTAACCCTTCCTCACGCTATCACAAAACTTGGGGGAAAAAAAGGTTTGGTAAACCTATAATTCAAATAAAGATAGATACATAGATGTAGTATGGAAGATTTAAAATACCTGCCTGTTTTTCTTTTCTTTTTGCTGTTTATGTAAGTGCCATTGGAGAAATTTCTCTTCACTTCCTGTCCCCTAAAATGCAACAGGAAGTCAGAGGAAATCCCCAAAAGTGAGAGAAATTGCACTTTTAGACAGTTGTCCCCATTGGAAGATCTCTCCTCACCTCTTGTTCTGGGGGCAACTCTAAAACTTTGGATTCCACTCTTTTTGTCGTAGTGACAGTGGTCACCAAGACAAAATAGGGGGTGAGTCCCCCCTATTGACTTGACAGGGGATCTAACCCTTTCTCATGCTATCACAAAACTCGAGGAAAAAAAGGTTGGTATACCTATAATAAAAAAAATTATATATATATATATATATATATATGTAGGGAAGATTTAAAATACCTGCCTGTTTTTCTTTTTTTTTTTTTTTGCTGTTTATGTATGTACCATTGGAGAAATTTCTCTTCACTCTCTGTGCTCTAGGATGCTACAGGAAGTCAGAGAAAATCCTCCAAAGTGAGAAGAATTCTGCTTTTAGACAGTTGTCCCTGTTGAAAGATCTCTCCTCACCTCTGGGGTCTACTCTAAAACTTTGGATTCCACTCATTTTCTGTCTTCGTCACAATGATCACCAGGAGAAATAGAGGGGTGAATCTTCCCAGTGACTTGATTGGGGGTCTAACTCTTCCTCACTCTATCCCAAAACGTAAAATAAGAGCTTTGGTTTTATATATACCTAAAAGTGTATCTATCGTCTGAACGTTTTTTTTTTAGTTCTGGATATACTAGGCAATATTAATAATTCCTGTCTGGTTGTTATTTTTTTTTTTCAGTTTGTGCACCATTGGAGAAACTTCTCTTCACTTTTTGTCCCCTAAGACGCAACAGGAACTCAGAGGAAATCCCCCAAAGTGAGAGGAATTTCCCTTTTCGGCAGTTGTCTTTAGAGCAGGTACCCCCATTGGAAGACCTCCCCTTACCTCTTGTTCTGGGGTAACTCTTACACTAGGTTCACACTGGTGCAGCTTTGAAGTTGCGCTATTTTCGCACGATTTCAAAGCCACCAATTAGTGCGACTTCCTGTGCAGCTTGCCGACGTCTGCGTGACTTCATTTACACAGATGACAATGCAAGTCGCACATGAAAGTGCGCAAAAATAGTGCAGGAACCGTTTTCAAAGTCCCTGCGACTTGAGTTGCACCGGTTTGAACTGTACTATAGCAGCAAATAGGTTGGATCTTGTCATGCGACTTTGATCTGTAAAGTCACATAACAAGTTGCACGATGTGAACCAGGGCTAAAACGTTGGATTCCACTCATTTTCTATCTTCATGACAATGGTCACCAAGACAAATAGAAGGGGTGGGTGCCCCCAATGACTTGACAGGGGGTCTTAACTATTCCCCACTCTATCCAGAAACGTACAAAAAAGATTTTGCCTAGGGATACACTTTAAATGTGTTCCCAAAGGATTTTATTTGTAACAGATATCCCAAAGGATTTTTTTTTTTTGGTTGCCGTGAGTAACTGCTTTATATTCCGACAGTTTTTATGAATGTTCCTCACAGTACATTGCCATGGTTGCTATTGGTAACAGCTGTACTTCTTCAACTTACATTAATACAGCCCATGTGTATACCGAACACCTGAGCAAAAAGCCTCCCACCACAGGGGCTGAATTATGTAATGAAGAGTGAAGATATTCTGTCTCATTTAAAATAGAACTATGATAAGAATAATAGACCCTTCATTTCTTTGTAGGCGGGCAAACTTACAAACTTTGCAGGGGATCAAATAATTATTTTCCCCACTGTATATCCCAGGAGGTTTCAGGAGATGGAGCATATCAGCTCAGGCAAGAATGGAGGGAGGGGGCAGTCTAGATTTGAAAATTTAGTAAATACCCCCCCTCAAAAAAAAAAAAAAAAAAAAAAAAAAAAACTGTTATTGTTCCCTGAGGAGGGGGGGGGGTTGAATGTTATGGGGAAAAGGTTCATCTGTTTTGTTTTGTTTTTTTTTTTTTTTTATTGAGTGATGGTTACTTAGTTAGTCTAACTGAAAAAAAGACATAAGTCCATCCAGTTCAACCATTAAAAAAAAAAAAAAAAAATGTTATAATCCTACACCCACAGTTGATCCAGAGGAAGGCAAAAAAACCCAGCAAAGCATGATCCAATTTGCTCCTGCAGGGGAAACATTCCTGTGCTTTCATTGCTGTTATGGCCTGCCTTTATCTATTATGCCTCTTCCTCAGTACTTCATTATAGAAAAAAATCATTTCTTGTATCTTTCAGGCACTTTATCACTCTAGTCTGGTGTAAAGCATGGATGCTTCAGAAGAAGCTGCTTCTCGGAACCTTGGTAACTCCACGGAGGAGAATTACTTTGTGACTTACACATTTACAGACCGCTCACACAGCAGCCGGGTGGCCCAGAGCATCATGAAGCTGTGTATGGAAGAGGAGCTGTTTGCCGATGTCACTATCCTAGTAGAAGGAAAGGAATTCCAGCTGCACCGACTTGTCCTGTCTGCCCAGAGCTGCTTCTTCCGTTCTATGTTTGCGTCCAATCTAAAAGAGGGCCGTAACCGTGTCATCCAACTTCAGGATGTGAGCGAGAGCGTTTTCCAGTTGCTGGTGGATTACATTTACCACGGAACAGTGAAGCTGAGGCTGGAGGAGCTCCAAGAAACATATGAGGTGGCTGATATGTACCAGCTGACAGCTTTATTTGAGGAATGCTCTCGTTTCCTGGTGAGGACGGTGCAGGTGAAAAACTGCCTGCAGATCATGTGGCTGGCAGACCAGCACAGTGACACGGCGCTCTATACTGCGGCTAAACACTGTGCCAAAACCCACCTGTCACAGCTGAACGACACCGAAGAGTTTCTGAACTTACCCTTACGGCTTCTGACGGACATCATTGCAGGTTGGTAGCTTTAGATATGTGATGGGGTCTGAAAACTGTTAAGTGAGAGGGCATGGGACTTATGTATCAAAGTGTCTTAAAGCGGAGCTCCACCCAAAAGGGGATGTTTTGCTATAAGGACTGCTTCTCCGCTCCCCATTAAGGATTGGCACTTTTGGGGGGCGCAGCGGATACCTGAATTTGACAGGTACCTGTTCCCACTTCCGGTCCGATCGCTTAGGTGATCGGAAGCGGAAGGTCTCCTCCCTCCCTGTAGTCTTTTGGGACACGTGACAGGTCTCAGAAGACTACAGGACCATTCATGAAGCGCAGCGCTACTCACACATGCGTAGTGGGTACCGGGCTGTGAAGCCGCAAGTTGTCACAGCCGGGTTCCCACACTGAAGATGCCGGCCTCCTGGAATCCAGGACGGCAGGTGAAACGGGCTGCGGGGGACACACCAAGGGACAGGTAAGTGGCTGTTTTTTAAAATTCAGCAGCTACAGTTTTTGTAGCTGCTGACTTTTATTTTTTGACCGGTGAGTGGAACTCCACTTTAAAGACCTGTGGGGTAGATTGAGGGCGGGTTCACACCATAGAAACACAGTCCAGGTGTGTTTCCACATGCACATTTTTTACGCAATTTTGGGACATGTGCATTTTTGGTGCGTTTTACCTCTTTTCAGTACAGTTCTGTGCAGCAAAAATGCAGCCTCTGCTACTTTTTTTTTTTTTTCTGCAACCAGAATGCACTGGAACTGCAAGCACTGATGTGAACTATGACACTGACAACACTAAATAGAGAGAAAACAGGTGGCGCACACACCTAGTGCATTATCCAAGGTTTATTGTAGGAATTAAATCATAAAAACATACTCACAGACGAAGCATGTATCTAAAAAGCATAGAAAAATGACAATGGCCACAACGGCGGGCAAGGTGTTCTCACTGTCAGTGCAGTCAAATGGCATCAACAGCGAGGCTCTTACTTCACTTTCCATTCATCATACATCAGCATCAGAGGTTGGTCATCAGCTCTGAGGAAAGGGATTCGTCCCCGAAACGCGTCAGCCATTTGACCGCACTGACAGTGAGAACACCTTGCCCGCCGTTGTGGCCATTGTCATTTTTCTATGCTTTTTAGATACATGCTTCGTCTGTGAGTATGTTTTTATGATTTAATTCCTACAATAAACCTTCGATAATGCACTAGGTGTGTGCGCCACCTGTTTTCTCTCTATCCAGTGGCTGATTTCCCCGTCTGAGGAGGGCTGCACCCCTGGAACATTTCCTTTTGGTTGTCGCTGTCCTGGTACCCTTGGCTTCCCTTTTGGCCGTGCATATCCTGAGGCGCTGGAGAGTACATACACTGACAACATTAAAACCTACTTTCTGTGCATTTTGGATGCAGAAAAAAAGCACACTGAAATACATGTAGTGTGAAATGGCCCTTACTAAAACTGGTTCACTCAGAATTTGGTGCACATGTGCATGGTAGCCAATCAGCTTCTAACCTCAGCTTGTTCAATTAAGCTTTGGCAGTAAAACCTGGAAGCTGATTGGTTTCTATGCAGAAGTGCACCTAATTTTGCATTCTCCAGCTTTAGTAAATAAACCCCTGTCTGTGTTTCCCTATAGCAACATATAGGTTATTTCTTTTAATTCCGGAAATATGCCACATTCTGTGCAAAGTTTAAATGTGATTGCCTGCAGTGGGGCAACACATAGGAGGAGATTTACTAAAACTGGAGCATTTAGAATTTGGTGCAGATGTGCATGTTAGCCAATCAGCTTCTAACTTCAGCTTGTTCAGTTAACCCCTTGGAGCCGGTGCCTCCCGGCCCTTTAAGGGTTCAGGAGGCGGAGCGGGGTTTTAGGGTCATGTGACCGCCATGATTCGCCGTCAATGCGGTCACATGATCGGGAAAGGTCCCGATCGAAAGAGGAGATTGGGACCTTTCCGTGAGTACCAGACCTGTGCTGGGTGCATGCAGGGTGCGCGCTCTTAGCACATATGTTTTTGTTAATTGCACACAAATGTGCGGCCGCTCGGCGTCTAGGCCCATACACCGGGAGGCCGCACATTTGTGTGTGGCCGGCGTGAAGAGGTTAAAGTGTTATTAAACCCACAACAGTAAAATCAGTCTGTATATGTAGTAAAGCATGCTTGTTATACTCACTGTGGAACCTAAAGGGTTAATCCTCTGCATTGTGTAAAACCGCTGTTTGATCCTGACTTCTCTGATCCTCCCCTTCTTCCATTGTCCCCCTCTTATCTCCTGATAAGACATATGTATGGAGTCACTCTGCACATGCTCAGTTTGGTGTGTATGGCTAGAGAGGTGTTTTTGTTTTTTTTTCTTGGGAGAGTGCATGTAATCAGCACTGTCCAGACAGAGGTCAGGGGTTCTGCATCCTCCTGCAGCAGAATAAAAACTCCTCCTACAAGCTTTACCCAGTGCTCTGCTGGACACTGATAGAAGTCACAAGACTGCTCTAACTGCTGATGAGAAAAGGTATTTAGCAGTTTATATTTACTAAAATAATTGCACTTCTGTGTACTGTGGGAGACCTGATATAGTTAATGCAGGGTCCTGGGTTTAGTAACACTTTAAGCTTTGACAATAAAAACTGGAAGCTGATTGGCTTCTATGCAGAGCTGCACCAGATTTCACATTCTCCAGTTTTAGTAAATCAACCCCCACAGAGCAGTGATATACACAATTTTTGCTTTTGGGTTTAGATAACACTAACTTTTTTACACTTTTTCTCTGTGGAGGAATCATCTTGGTAGGGGAGCAGCACTTTGTTTCCAGATGTCAGTAAGTATATATAAGAAACAAGTCCTTTGCTAAGGAAAGAAGTTTGTATACCTAGCTCAGTGAAGAATAGGGATGAGCTCAAGGGTGTTCAGATGCAAGCGTGAACCTGCCTGAGCTATCCTGCCAGGAAGCTGTCAAAGTGGACAGTGAGCCCAGGTTAACACTGATGCAATGCAGAATTCGGTGCGATTTCCGCAGCACATCATAATCGCGCCCCATTCTTATGAAACCGCTGCGGGTGTGTATTTTAAGTTAACGACACCCCTAAATCAGTTCAGAAAACGCGGTGTGATGTGCAGAATCGGATCACATGGGTGTCAACACCTATGCGATCCGATTCTAGTGCTGACAAAAAAGGGTCCTGAACTTTTTTAGTGCAGATGCGGTACGATTTGAGCCATACAAAATGTATGGCTCAAATCGCACCGCACAGAAATTGCATGTGATTTGCACAGGAATGTGGTGCGGTTCCTATGCGATCACATGCAATGTGCTGCACCGCATCACTGTGAACCCGGGCTCAAGCCTAGATGGTGGATGCATGCCCTGCAGTCGCACATATACATCAGTGTGGCTGTGGAGCAGGGAATGCCCCTCTGCCTATGACTGGTTGTCTGCTCTGACAGCTTTCTGGTAGGATAGCTCAGGCGGATTCAGACTTGCGTTTGAACCTGCCTGAGCTCATCCCTGGTAAAGAGTTTTTTTTTTTTTTTTTTTTATTTGTAAGTATTAACACCTTTATTCCAACCAGATGGAGTTCCCTGTTCTCAGAATCCCACCACTGCTATAAAGAACTGGATCCACTACAACAAGGAAGAGAGAGAGGAGTTTTCTGAAATGCTGCTGTCTAGCCTGAAGGTATGTTGTTCTAAAAGGACATAATGGTGCCATTTTAATGAGCAGAACCTATAAAACATTATTGTAAAGTTTTTCTTTTAGTAAGTTGCAGTTTAAATGAAATTGCTGCATGTTCTTAAATAGCTTCCCTTCATTTAACAAATATTGGATATTGTGTCGGCATCCTCGCTGAATGACGGTTCAGTAAATGGCACTGCAGGGTAAGCCATCAAGATCATTTTCATTGAATCTTTCAAGGTTTGAGTTACATTTATTTATTTCAGGTACTTACAGTGGGGCAAAAAAGTATTTAGTCAGCCACCAATTGTGCAAGTTCTCCCACTTAAAAAGATGAGAGAGGCCTGTAATTGGCATCATAGGTAGACCTCAACTATGAGAGACAAAATGAGAAAAAGAATCCAGACAATCACGTTGGCTGATTTGGAAAGAATTTATTTGCAAATTATGCTGGAAAATAAGTATTTGGTCAATATGAAAAGTTCATCTCAATACTTTGTTATATATCCTTTGTTGGCAATGACAGAGGTCAAACGTTTCCTGTAAGTCTTCACAAGGTTGGCACACACTGTTGCTGGTATGTTGGCCCATTCCTCCATGCAGATCTCCTCTAGAGCAGTGATGTTTTGGGGCTGTCGCTGGGCAACACGGACTTTCAACTCCCTCCAAAGGTTTTCTATGGGGTTGAGATCTGGAGACTGGCTAGGCCACTCCAGGACCTTGAAATGCTTCTTATGAAGCAACTCCTTTGTTGCCCGGGCGGTATGTTTGGGATCATTGTCATGTTGGAAGACCCAGCCACGTTTCATCTTCAATGCCCTTGCTGATGGAAGGAGGTTTGCACTCAAAATCTCACGATACATGGCCCCATTCATTCTGTCCTGTACATGGATCAGTCGTCCTGGTCCCTTTGCGGAGAAACAGCCCCAAAGCATGAGGTTGCCACCCCCATGCTTCACAGTAGGTATGGTGTTCTTTGGATGCAACTCAGCATTCTCTCTCCTCCAAACACGACGAGTTGTGTTTCTACCAAACAGTTCTATTTTGGTTTCATCTGACCATATGACATTCTCCCAATCCTCTTCTGGATCATCCAAATGCTCTCTAGCAAACTTCAGACGGGCCCGGACATGTACTGGCTTAAGCAGGGGGACACGTCTGGCACTGCAGGATCTGAGTCCCTGGCGGCGTAGTGTGTTACTGATGGTAGCCTTTGTTACGTTGGTCCCAGCTCTCTGCAGGTCATTCACTAAGTCCCCCCGTGTGGTCCTGGGATTTTTGCTCACCGTTCTTGTGATCATTTTGACCCCACGGGGTGAGATCTTGCGTGGAGCCCCAGATCGAGGGAGATTATCAGTGGTCTTGTATGTCTTCCATTTTCTAATTATTGCTCCCACAGTTGATTTGTTCACACCAAGCTGCTTGCCTATTGCAGATTCAGTCTTCCCAGCCTGGTGCAGATCTACATTTTGTTTCTGGTGTCCTTCAACAGCTCTTTGGTCTTCACCATAGTGGAGTTTGGAGTGTGACTGTTTGAGGTTGTGGACAGGTGTCTTTTATACTGATAACAAGTTCAAACAGGTGCCATTGATACAGGTAATGAGTGCAGGACAGAGGAGCCTCTTAAAGAAGAAGGTACAGGTCTGTGAGAGCCAGAAATCTTGCTTGTTTGTAGGTGACCAAATACTTATTTTTCACCATAATTTGCAAATAAATTCTTTCCAAATCAGCCAATGTGATTGTCTGGATTTTTTTTCTCATTTTGTCTGTCGTAGTTGAGGTCTACCTATGATGCCAATTACAGGCCTCTCTCATCTTTTTAAGTGGGAGAACTTGCACAATTGGTGGCTGACTAAATACTTTTTTGCCCCACTGTATATAGCGCCATCAATTTACGCAGCGCTCTACATATATATTGTACATTCCACATCAGTCCCTAACCCTAAAGGGGCGTACAATCTAAGGTTCCTAACTCACATTCATACATACACATACATGGGCCAATTTAGACAGGATCCAATTGACCTACCAGCATTGGGGTATGAATACTTTTTCAAGGCATTGTACTAAAGACAAATAGTCTGTGCACTGTAAGTGTACTGCAAGTGCAGTTCTGCTAGAGCTGAGAGGAAGCTCTGAAATGAGGAGAAGCTCTGCTGATTTCTATCATTCCAATCGTGCAAGCAAAAAATTAATTTTTTTTTTTATGTTGAATGTTCCCCTCAGATCTAGAGCAACTGCACTTGCATTGCAATTTCAGTGCACTTGCAAGTGCAATTGCAGTGCACAGACTAGAAAGATGTAACACTCTGCCATCACCTGACTCAATCTGGAGAAAATATGTCCACAGAGGGGCAACTCTTAGGGCCCTAGCAAACATCTTTCCTGGCTTGTTGCCCCAATCGAAGTGGGAGCGAAGTTTTACAAATGTGCCCTTTATTTTACTGGTAAGGAGAATTTCAAGTGGTGCTCGGGATGTCTGCAGCTCTCTATAGGTCGCTTGAGCCAGGGACTTTTTCTGGAGTGATTTGAGGAATATGTGAAAGAATAGATTCCACCTGCTATGGGTATTGCTTCTATTTGAGCCCTGCAAAATAAGAAGGCCTCTTATGAAGTTTTTGAGTAGATAATAATATTTACATTTTATTTTTTAGGAAATTGGGGAAAATGTGCACATCTATCTGATTGGTAAGGAGGAGTCTCGCACGCACTCTATTGCGGTCTCACTACATTGTGCGCAGGATGACTCTATAACTGTAAGTGGACAGAACAGTCTGTGTCACCAGATAACAGCGGCCTGCAAGCACAGGGCCGACCTGTATGTGGTAGGGGGCTCCATCCCTAGGCGAATGTGGAAATGTAACATGGAGACCATGGATTGGGAGCGTTGCGCTCCTCTGCCCAGAGACCGTCTGCAGCACACACTGGTGTCTGTCCCCAGCAAGGATGCTATCTACTCCCTTGGTGGAAAGACGTTACAGGACTCTCTCTCCAATGTGGTAATTTACTATCGAGTACAAGACAACGTATGGACGGAAACCAGCCAGTTAGAGGTTTTCCATCTCGGGTGCTGCTGGCGTAAACCTTAATGGGCTCATCTACTTATTTGGAGGTGACGAGAATGATCTGGACTTTTTTACCAAACCCTCACGCCTTATTCAGTGTTTTGACACCAACACTGAAAAGTGCCACGTGAAACCGTACCTGCTGCCTTTTGCTGGACGCATGCATGCTGCCGTTCATAAGGACTTGGTGTTCATTGTGGCAGAGGGAGACTCGTTGGTCTGCTACAACCCTCTTCTGGACAGCTTCACGCGGCTTTGCCTTCCTGATGTGTGGAGCTCTCGACCTTCACTCTGGAAAATCGCCAGCTGCAATGGCTGCATCTACGTATTCCGTGATCACTACAAGAAAGGGGATGCCAACACATTCAAACTCAATCCCGCCACGTCCGTGGTGACAGTCACAAGTGGCATTCGCTTCTTGCTTACCAACCTTCAGTTCTTGTTAGCATGAGGCTTGTATTGGGAGTATAAGTGGAGACAGAGATGCAGGCAGTCGCTTCAACAAGCTATGATTTTGCTAGCAGGAAGGTCATGACACCTCAGCTGTAAGAATCGCGGAGAAAACAATCGAACTAATGTGTATACATTGGTGGGACCAACAGTGTAATGTAATACAAGGCTTGGTGTACCATGCTGAACCAGTTTTGTGTCCTCAAGCTTTTTTTTCCTTATTACATCCAGCTAAAGTAATACATATGGTTGAGGGTAAATGTTGTGCACCCCCTTACCCCCCCCCCCCAAAGAAAAAAAACTATTATGGTGTGATTTATGCCTAGCTAAATTTAAAGGGAATGTATAGTCTGTTACAACATTTTTTTAGATATATGTGTAAAAGAGATTGGTACGATGTAAATAGTGTCATCAATGTGTGTTATATAGAAACAAAGGATTTTCCTATATATAGCTAGTAATATATATATATATATATATATATATATATATATTTGCTCATTACATATGCAGATTTTGCTTTCTGCTTTTGCTGCTGCTTTACTGTTCCTGCTCTCACAATGCAAGTCTATGAGTCAGGTGAGTCGTTCAAAATCGTTTGCTGCTGGAGTGGCTGATATCTTATTACAACAGTTGGGGAAGAAAGCAGAGTGCAAATATAACATTTGCTGCATTTAGTGGCCAATCTAGAAACCGCTATATGTTTTTTACAGTGATAAACATGATAAGAGCAATCATTTTACAATTAAAGCGTCTCATGATAATGTACTGTAAAACTGAACTCCAGGCAGACATTTTTGCCATTACTCCAAAGGCTATATCTTGCCTTTTTAAGCAGTTTTTCAATGATTTACAATACAGGTGTTCCACTCTAGAATCAGTAAGAAGGGTCTCTGTCCCATTTATTTCCTTTTAGTAAAATGGGGAACTACAATGCATGATATGTCTTTGGCCACCAGTCTTGTGACATCCCTTGTATAGCGAGTCAGTTTGATCCACTCACTTAAATTGCAACTCCTGGTCCATCATGCCCAAGCCTGCTGTAAGAGATTGGCAAGCTCATCAACATACCTGCCCATCACCCCGCATACATTCACGGGCATTGAGAACTACTGCCCCTTGCATGATGGGAATTGTAATTTGTTCCAACAACTGCAAAAGTGATATTGCCATTTGTTTAATCCCTTGTCCTAGTGCCCAGGCATAGTTCCATTTCCCTGTATTCAGCTGTGATGTTAAAACTATCCCGGAGTTCAGCTTTAAGGTAAACACTGCTATAATAACTCATCATATGTACTCAATAAAACTATACTTTCCCTTTAAAACGCAGTATATTAAAATGGGTAGATAGTAGAGCTTCACGCTAGCTTAGCTGACAAAATCATTTGTATTGATGCTTAATAGGGGATGGGGAGTCCCTTAACATGGCTGGAGTCATGGAAGACGGCCTTCTCCATGGATTACATAAGAGGTATTATTACAACATAATAATCTTTCTCAAATCCCCTAGGGGACCCAGTGCACAAAACATTTAGTCCTGTTAACATCCATGCAGTGTTTCGGAAATAAAATGAATGTATTATTCTGTCAGTGCTGTAGCACCAGCCCTATATGGAGCCCATGTTCTGGGTGTTTCTATGGGGGAATTACAGTACAGAACTGGGCCTCTGCCCCCATCTCTAATTGTTATAAATGAACAGTCAGTGCTGGTGGGGCTGTGTGATAGAGATGCCAGCAGATAGTAAGCAGCCACTGCACTGGCAGATACATCACACAGCCCCGCGGCACGGAATGATTGTTTACTTTTGTGAATGAATAGTCAGCGCTTGGGTAATGGAATTGACTGACCTCACGCCCTGCTGTGCTAAATGGTTAATCTTGTCTTCAGAGTACTCTTGCTGCTAGAGATGAGTGCTGTCAGTCAGCCCTCATTATGTATTTGCATCCTTGCTAACAGCGTGGTCAGAAAGCCATGGGGGGGGAGGGGCTAACTGTCCGATCATGCTATGGAGCGAAATGCGAAGAAGTGCTGCAGGCACTTGGTCCCTTAAAGTATCCGACAAAGTTTTTTTTCTTTTAACTTGTATTGATACTTCTTCCTTAAACTTAGGATGTAATGCTTAACAACAGGCTTGGCCGAAGCAAAGAAATCTAGGACAAACTGAAGCTGGCCATAGAGAGATCGAAATTTGGCTGGTTCAGGTAAGACCAGACGAATTTTGATCCATGTATAGGCAAGCTGGTTGTACTAAATCCATCGATCAACTTCAGTACAACCAGCCTGTTTTTTTTTTTTTTTGTCCAGTCACTGCTGGTGGCTATAGCACCCAGAAGTGATCACTGTGTTCTGATGGTTGGGAAACCAGAATACAAAAGCTCCACGGGAGACATTCCCCCATCAACACTGAATGTGTTGGTGGGGGAATCGAGCAATTTTCTTTCCTGCAACCCTTATGTATGTCCTGCTTTAATGATCTAAAGCTGAACTTTAGCCATCTAACAATGCCATGCCTTGTTAATTTTTTACCTTTTACTGTATTCTGTTCAAGAATTGGCTTCTGTAAATTTAGTTGCAGAGTGATAATACAGACATTTCTTTTGGGGGAGCGATCTAGGACAACATTCCACACATCCACTCACTGCATTCTACTGTATTGAGAGATGGTGTGTGTTGGTGTCTTCATTGTCCTATCTCATAGAAGCTGGTGCAACACACTGGCTGTGAGCATTCCTCTGCTGCCTGAACGGACTTTCAATAGCGGAAACACAAGTGATTTCACATTCAAAGTTAAGAATCACTTTTCTCAACATAATTGAGAATAAGAAATGTAACATTGCTGGGTTGGCTACAGATCATCTCTAAATATTATTATACTTGAAAATAAACCAAACTTTAAAAAACTCACCAAAAGAGTGTTTGTTTTATATTTTTAATCAATGCTGAAACTTCTTGATAGTCCCTAGATAATAAAAACAGGGATTGGAAGGAAGGCTTTTTTGCCTTTTTAGTAGACCCGAGACCCCAACTACTGTCAGAACTTTTTTTGCTTGTTTTTGATTGAGAGAGGTTGGGAAGGGTTAGAATCTCTGCCAGTTTTATATGCTTTCTTATTGTTCTTGTAGAGAAAATGTGTCTTTTCTCCCTTTTCTGTTGGACATGTGTCAGCTAGACAGGAAGTGAGGGGAAATCTCAACTAGGAAGATATAAAATATTAGCAGAGGTTCTTATCCTTCATAATTCTACTAAAAATGTATCCCCGCTTCTCTACCAATGTGGGGGATTGCCTTTCATTTTTGTTTGACACCCATCAAATAAAGAGGAGGTAAGGAGAAATCCCCCAAATGGGTACACAAAACAGTAATAAAAAAGTTGACAGATGATTAACTTTATGTCCAAAACAAAAAAAAAAAGTTTGGGCTGCAGTTTGGCTGTAACTGATGGAACCTAAGAAATGGCTATCTGCTAAGGCAGGGGTCTCCAAAATGTGACCCATGGGCCAGATGTGGCTGTTTGCGCACCTTCATCCAGCCTTTGGGGCACTATTCCCTCCACTCATAGGAGGTATTATTCCTTCCACTGACAATAACAACACTGTTCCTCATCCTGACACCAACACTGGGGTACTATTCCTCCCACTGACACCAGAGGTTGGGAATTAATTCTCCCACTGACACCAATGATGAGGCACTATGCCTCCCACTGAAACCAATGGTGGGCATTATGAATTCCACTGACACCAATGATGGGCACTATGAATTCCACTGACACCAATGATGGGCACTATGAATTCCACTGACACCAATGATGGGCACTATGAATTCCACTGACACAATGATGGGCACTATGAATTCCACTGACACCAATGATGTCTTTTTTTTTTTTTACTTACACTGACCACCAAGCTTATGGCTTTGTTTACACCAACCGATGCAGAGACATTTTTAACTCTCTGTCTACAGTCCAGCCCCCCTAAAGTTTGAAGGACAGTAAACTGGGCCTTTGTTTTGAAGTTTGGAGACCCCTGTGCTAAGTCATACAGCTGTACATTATATGGCCAACGGTATGTGGACACCGCTCCAAATGATTGCATTCAGATGTTTTCAATGAAGGGTACTGTAAATGCTACAGACCATACAAAGACATTTTAGACAGTTGTTATCGTCCAACCTTGTGGCAAGTTTGGAGAAGTCCCTTTTCTGTTCTAACATGACTGTGCCCCGTGCACAACGCCAGCTCCATAAAGTCAGGATGAGTTAGAAGTGAATGAAAACCCATTGGCCTGTACAGAGTCCTGACCTCAACCCTATTGAACACCTTTGGGATGAATTGGAACACAAATTGTCAGGTCTTCTCGAAGTCAGGTCTTCTTGAACAGCATCATTGGAAAGCCTTCCAAAAAAGTGGAGGCTATTGTAGCCAGAAAGGAGGGCCAACTCTATATTAATGCCTATGGTTTTGGACTAAGATGTCTAACAAGCTCATATTGCTGTGGTGGTCTGGTGTCCACAAACATGTATCTAGTAAGAAAAGTTCAGTAACCCATAACAAATAATCATTTGGCATTGTTCTAACTGCTCTATGGTGATAAAATAAAAAAAATCTTATACTGTTCTCACAGTGTATAGGACGTTTTATTTAAAACTGATATTTTTAGCTATGGACACTGAGTTTTTATATCTGCATTTATTTGTCACTTAAGCTCTGGAAGGTTTTACCCCCTTCATGACCAGGCCATTTTTCCCCCATTTAGCACTGTGCTACTATAACTGGAAATTGTGCGGTCATGCAATGCTGTACTCAAACAAAATTTATATTATTATTTTTCACACAAGTAGAGCTTTCTTCTGGTGATATTTGATCACCGCTGTTTTTTTTTGTTTTCCTTTTTAATTCTTGAGATATAAACAAAAAAAAACCTCAACATTTTGGGAAAAAAATATATTTTTTACTTTTTGAAACAAAAATCCAATAAAAAAAATCTAAGTTCTTTATACATTTTG